ATAAATTCTAACATTGAAAACATACAAGATGAGATGAAACATAGAGGGGTTGTCAATCCGTACAGAAACAATTACAGGAAAAAAATCGAGAAAGAGACTGCATTCAAATGGCTACAAATTGTACCCTGGGTTCTGCGTTTTCGGCCGCTTACTCTGTTGGGCTGTCTGAAAAGCATTATCTACACTTGATGAGAATTCAAATGAGATGATCAATTACTTACTGGTGCGTAACTTAAGTCTTGCTGAACATCAGGAGTTTTTCTATAGCCAGGATTCGCTGCAACAGCAAAAAGTGGCCTCTTCACACTGGTCACTTTGGGTGTTACCTATAGCATTGCAGCTTTATAATGGTAAAATACACTTTTTACAATTATTGATATAATCATTAGGGACATAACTATAAAATAAGCAAAGGATATCTGAACATCCTGTGATAAGATTAACACTAACCTTAGAACTAGAAGGATGGTCTAGAGCATAGTCTGGAGCTCCAGCTGTAGATACGATACGCGGAACCGAAGAGACCGTTTGCTGCATAACCAGTGGTCGAGAACGATCGACCGCATTTGAGTCCACGACTTCATAACCAGCACTGGTTCCAGGAACAACATATCCAGTATAATCCCCTTGCTGTTCGATAAGATCAATTTCCTCTCCAAGCTCAGCTTCATAAGCTGGCAAGGTATATGCATAACCTTCGGGAGTAGTATAAACGGGTTGCACCATTTCAACATAAGAACCGTCGCTAGAGTGATCGGAAGTTGTTTGCTCAAACATTGAGTTATGTCTAAAATAAAGCAAAACATTATGAAGTTAATAATGCTTAACAGAGATCACTTCATTTACTATCAAACAATGTCCCTTGTCCATATATTTTAGTAGTCACTGAAACTCGATTTATCTTGAAAAGCGCAAAAATATCGAATACGTATGCAGAAACTGATTTTCTTTTAAAGCGCAGACCAGAGGCAGACTATTTCTGCAAGATCAATGAATGTAAGATATAAGATGTAAATTCTGAAGCATTAAATTGGTGTTATATGATGAAAAATAAGTATCCAAATAGCTTCGATGATACGCGAACAGATGAGACTGAATTTGAGTTTCAAGAAGAAAAGGGTGCACTCATAAACCAACTGCGTTACTTACTGTCGTTCCCCAAGGGTGGGATCGTGTATAACGTACTGTGCTGGTGGAGGATTTGTTCTTGCTCTTGTTTCCC